GTTTTGCTTTACATGATAAAAATAGATAGTTTAAATAGATAATTTATTAGTTGTTAGAGAAGGGAAGTCGCACGTCCAGAGCGGGTAAGAGACGACTGTTTACAGGGTTTATTAGATTAATAACAACAATTAGCAAACGCGTCCGCGCTCGTGTGTGGTCCTCGCGTGACTGACGGCTATTATGACTGCACTAGCGCCATCTATGCCATTTCAATCTAGCTTCATTTCATAATTAAATAGCACACATGTGATTATTATTTTCATTAACCAATTATAAAACGATTTGTATAACTTAGTAAGTAATTTCTGTTTACGGGCACCGTGTATTTATATTATTCATATAACATATGGAACTAAAAGACGAGTCTGAATCAGGTAGGTCTGAGAAATATAAATGTTAGAAAACAATACACACTAGGTACTTTTGACACTCCTTAAAGCTATAAAGCGTGGAATTAAATTTAAAATACCACTTTTATATACAATATATTACAATATATTATTATTAACTAGCATTGTAATTACAATTTTATTATATGTATAGATTTAATAAAGAGGGTCTCCACTAGCGCCACCTATCGACTAACCGACATTCTGATAAAAAATAACGATTGAAGTAAATCAGTGAAATGTTTTACTTAACGTTAAAGTTAACATCAAGTTGAATGCAATCGATCATTTACTGCGCTAATGACAAAGACTGTGCAACCTCACTTCCTACACGACGGAAAGCTCTATATTTGCACTAGCGTCGCCCCGCGACTGCGCTCGCATAGTTTATAATTTATGTGTAATTAAAACTTTTTTTTATTATAAAAAGTTTTTTTTTATTTGAGTAAATCTAAAACCCACAGACATTCGTCCGTGCCTTTTTTTGAGCATTCGCATTTATATTTTTTGCTTTATTTTATTTAAGATGGATTCGTGCGTGTATAATTTTAAAATTAAAAGATTTTGCGAACAAAAACCCCCCTCTTAAGTTTCATGTCCTCTAATTTACACTTTGCTGACTGTACTTGGGCGGTATTTTAACTAAGAATAGTCGTGTTTTTTAATTAAAAAGATTATTTACAATTTTGTTGACTTCAACTTAAAAATTAAAAGATTTTCATACTTCCATGTATATTCCAACCCAACGAGATATCTACCAGATTAATAAGTTCAAATTTGGCTTTTATATTATACCTATACATAGATAACCGATACAGGGTCGATTTGAGTTTTGTTACTTGCAAAAAATTATAAATTAAATAATATTTTAATTTGATCCTATGGAGAAGTAATAATAAATTATTATTACTTCTTCAATTTTTACGATTACTAAAACTTGTACCTACTTGTTAGTTGTTACTTCCTTATTAATGTTTGTTTCAAACGCGTAAGTTGTTGGTCGACGTGATGTTTTACATAGTTCCGTTGTTCCTTGATTTGAAAACAAATCAAATACCTGATTTCCTTCAATGAATACCTTATCATATGTTCCTCCTAAGGCCTAGTCACTAAAGTTAAAAAAAAATCTACCCTAAAGGGGGTAAAATCTCTAAAATCATCTTTCCAAGTGATTTGTAGATGTATGATGATCCTTCTAGTTAAAAAGTAATTACAGACTCATACTTAATACACTAATTAGTGTATTAATTGTATATTTAACACCTCCAGGTAAATTTCTAAGAAATTAATTAAATTTCTAAGAAATTAATTAAATTTCTAAGAAATTTATTGTTAACTGTAACGCTGACGTGTCCGCGGTCGTGGAGGGATTAAAAGCTCTAGTGATGAATCAATGATAGCAAATATAATAATATTCTGACAAAATGTTGATAGTTGTAAGTGTTCCTAGGAAGGCAGGCGGACGCCGGGACGGGGCCCGCGGCGTCAAATTATATCAACTTGCAATGTTCCCCATATATCAATGTAACTTGTAATGTGAATCAATTTATTCATAGCCATCATCAGACCACTAACTGACTATACAGTTACGTTATTAATATTAAATCAGAGTATAACTTATCTATCGCTTTAGTTAAACTTCCTATACTTTGCTCAAATAAATAAATCTCATCAATATACACACATGAATGCTCTTGAAACATATTTCCTTTATTAATCATTCATAATAAGCACTAGAAAATTTATGACAAATTTTTATTTTCTATTTTCGATATCGACATATTAATGTGTATATCAAAAATTGACCAATTCGATTATTTTTTGGTCGATAATATTCACGGTATTTCAGTCCCGGTCTCACCTGCATATTAACGCTTCATAAAGACAGCAAAATTGCCGTCCAAAATTTCGATCAGCTGAAATTCATTGATTTATAAAGGCTTTAGTTAATTGTGCGATGGCCGATAAAGTTACAAATTTACGGCTTCATTATAGAGGGTGTGTTTATTGCTTTGGATCTGTTCGCGGAAGAGATAGGCTCATACAATTAAGATCATGAAATCGATTACGTAATTTTTGTGCTAAATTTTACACTTTGTCGATGGTATGTGATGGGCTTTAACCGATGCATGAAAAGTTCAATATTCAAATAAATTATTAGAGATTAAGATAATACTAATATTTTTTAATACATTATTTTTGCATATTGTTGTGCTGTGAGTTTAATATAAACTGGGTATAATAAAAACTTTTACGAAATGCTTATAATTTAAAACATAAATAATTTTAATATTTACAATATATGTAGGTATGTATGGATAAATAAATAATAAATAAATATGTTGGGACATAAATACACAGCACCATCTAGTTCCAAGGTAAGCTACGAGGCCTGTGTTACGGATACCATAGTTGATAAACTACACACATACATATAACTTAAAACCCATGCATATTATAAATATGACCCATGCACAAACATTCGTGCTCATCACACAAATGAATACCCCCAGCGAGACTCGAACTCGCGATTGGCACGGCAAGTGGGGTCACTACAAACTGAGTCAAACGTGTTATCATACTTTTATTATGTAACTAACATATAATAAACAAATATATGATTAAACTATCTCATGAAATAATAATATACAATTATACATACCTTAAATCTAAAAATCTTAAGTACATCTGTCAAATTTTGTTTATTTTTTTAAATTGTACATTTTTATTACAGTAAAAGGAAACATGCTAATAGCACACAGTGAAATTGGTATTTGCACATCAAGCCTTTGAGCTGTTTGTATGGTCCATACTACGAATAAGTTAGGCTGTTAGTGCAAGCAATTGCTATTTAAGTCACCAGTTAAGTGCGAGACGCCATCTAGGGAAGCCATAAAGAGAGCTAACACTGAACTCGAGCCATAAAGACACGTTAACTTTAAAATAGTATTCAAAGTTTAAACTGCTCGGTTATTTTCATTTTTATTAAATAAAACAGCAAATATACAATAATTATTCCCAAGCTACTCCTGACATTAAATGTGAGAAGATAACTTATGTCACATCCGGGATTCGAACTCAAGACTTCCTCCTCAAGAAGGTGTCCTTCAATTATATCGTAAAAGCAGGAACTAATCGAAGCCATTAATAGATAATTTAAATTAAACCAAATAAATATTCATACCTTTTTATAATTAAATTTAAACTATTCAAATTATCTTTTTATGGATGTACAATTAGAGATATCTACTGTTTACGCCGCAGTGACTTACTCGCCTTTATATTAGTTCGTTAGAACCAAGACGGAAATCGAACTTACGATCTACATTTACTTCGTCTAGTAGACGCATCCACTACATCTATACATACATACGTAGAATATTATTTTGCTTTATAAAAACTAAAACTGCTAAAAAATTCAATACTAGCAAAACAAAAACAAATCTATCCCACGGGAACCGTTGATTTTTCCGGGATTAAAAGTAGCCTACGCGCTATTTCGAACTGTAATCTATTCCTGTGCCAAATTTCATCCAAATCCCTTCAACCGTTCTGACGTGATTGAGTAACAAACGTCCATCCAAACATCTAAACTTTCTCATTTACATTGGTAAGATAGTAAAAAATAATATTATATAAATAAATATTATGTTAAATAAATGAATATAACGTATTATCTAAGCACATAAAGCTCGCTTCCCATATAATTTAATGGCGTCCTTACTAGAGTTTATTTTGCAAAAGCGTAAAATTGCGAAAGCTTTAGAATTTAGGATTATTGTTATGTAAATTTAAGTATGCCATTAGAAGCTCAAAGCTCTGTATGGCGGAAAATGTTAGTGTATTCATATCCAAGTATGATGAGAAAACACCTTTCATTGCTTTCAAAGAGACAGCTTAAATACGGACAATTTTACTAAATCAATGAGCTTTTTGTTTAAAGAAATAAAATACTATTTAATAAATATGTTAAGACATTAACACACAGAACCATCCAGTTCCATGGTAAGCCACGAGGCTTGAGTTATGGATACCAGATAGTTGATACACTATACATATATAACTTTAACTGCCTCGGTGGTGTAGTGGCTAGCATGTACGGCTGCACACTCGGAGGTCCTGGGTTCGAGTCCCGGGTCGGGCCAAGTTTAGTTATTGAATCTTTCTGTATAGTAAGTCTCAGGAGCAGCCCGGAGTTAGGAAGTTAGCGGTGTTTCACCCCCGTGCCTCTGAGAGCACGTAACGCCGTCGGTCCTGCGCCTTAACTCTCACCGGTCGTGTCGAGTGGTCGTTCCACCGGAGTATGAGAGTGACAGGAATAGAGAGTGCACTTGTGTCTGCGCGTAAACTTGTGCACTATAATATCTCCTGCGCAGTTGGCTAGTCTCAATGAGATCGGCCGCCGTAGCCGGAATCGGCCAGGAGAACATCATCATCATAACTTTAAATACATACATATTATAAATATAAACACCCATGACTGGAGTACAAACATTCGTGATCATCACACAAATGAATGCCCAGCCCAGCGGGACTCGAACCCGAAAATCGAAAATGTTTCGATCTGTAATTACTATATAATACACCTATAATTTTACAACTAAAAGCCTATGACGACACGTTCGGCTCAGTTTGCCATGCCAGAGGTCGCAGGTTCGAGTCCCGCTGGTCATTCATTTGTGTGATTAGCATGAATGCTTGTGTTCCAGACTTGGGAATTTATAATTAAAATATGTATATATTTAAAGTTATATGTGTGTAATGTATCAACTATCTGGTATCCATAACACAAGCCTCGTAGCTTAACATGGAACTAGATAGTGCTTTGTGTTAATGTCCCAACATATTTATATTTATTTTATTAGTTTAATGACTAGTAGCTGTTTATGTGCAATAGTAAATTGTGTGTGTGTATTGTTTCAGCGATACTTCAGCGTGCGACGTACACGTTCGGCCTCCTGACGATCCAGGGGGTGTCGACCTGCCTGTACCTGTGCATGGATGCCTGCGGGTTCCTCTACGCTAATGTAAGCTATAACGCTTTTATTCCCGCCCTAAATATATGTGTAAAATGTTAGTACTTACCGTTTGTCGATATGGGCATACTAATATTATAAATGTGAAAGCTTGTGAGGATGGTAGGATGTTTGTTACTCTTTCACGCTCGAAAGGCTAAAAGGATCTGGATGGAATTCAGCACAGAGATAGATTATAGTCTGAAATAAGGTTACTTTTTATCCCCAAAAATTTCAGTTCCCGTGGGATAGATTTAAAATATAAATATATAAATAAAAGTAATTTTTCGAATGTTTTCGCTTTTTTATTTTAGTTTCTGATTCATGATGCTGTTAAGCATTCAAAACGTCTCAATCTACGTAAACTGGTTTTAATCTTATCAAAATTTATTTTCACAACAAAAATAATAATAATAATCTATATTTCCATTTTGTTTTCATGCATATTACATGCAATGATTGTTATGAAATGAAATAAATTATTTACTCCAAATGAATTATCCATTCATAGCAAACAGAAACTCTATTACACTTATGTGTGTATATTTATAATTAAAGTAATCATAGCAAATGATCTATAAATCTAAATAAGCTGTAACAATGTTAGTCATTAGCAGTCACAGGTCTTGTGCCATCCTTGGCCCACTTGCTATTGTTTACCGATCGGATCACGTCGCCTTGGAGTAGCGCGGTAGAGCCGGTGCCAATACTACACGTAACATAAGTGATAATTATAAAGTAATCGCTGTAGATAAAACCTAACCTACCATAATAATGGTATAAACCTCCTCTATTCTATCACGTACTATAATCATAGCAAGTAAAATATGTCGTGGGTTTAAGGTATACGACGAAATAAACTCTTACTTAATTGAACTACGGTTATCTATACTAATATTACGAGTATAAAGAGGTAAAGTTTGTGAATTTGTGAGTTTGTGACGTTGTAGGGGATAATCTCTGGATCTCCTGAACCGATTTAGATGAAAAAAACTCAATTAAAAAATAATAAAAATATGTATTACAAGCTAAGTAAATCCAAGTGGTATCTCTAGTCGTGTTATTACGAGGGGCAGCGAGTACGTTGCACCGCGGGGTGACGAGCGAGTGCGCACAGCACCTGGCCTGCGCCTGCGCACTGACAGCTATCAACGATGTGATGCAACAGAGTTACTACTTAACACGCTTAGGTGTGGCGTTTTTTAACGTCAATAATTACACTTTTGACTTAAAAGCTACATCTGTATTTATTGCATCCTCTACATCTTAATTATAAAGATAATTTTGAGATTCTGTCCAAAATTGGCGAGAATATCACGTAATATATTGACATGTCTGTATTGATATCGGTCAAAAATATGTTGTTTTTCTTGTATCTTTACATAATATTTTAAATAATACCCACTTACATTTCACAAAGGTTCTAACATTATTACTCCTTTAAAATAAAAACTTTATTTCATGACAAATTTATCTATTAAAATTATAATCGCCAAAAAGTGTTTTTCGATATTCCTACTTTCCTGAAACGGAACTTATTGCTCCGTTTGTTCTAAATAAATATTTGCATGTAGATATATTATTGAGGTATGAATATGTCTAACTTAACGAGCGTAACAGAGTTTTTTAAACGCTCGTCTGCACTAGCTATCATTAAAATCAAACAAAATATATGTACATTTGAGTGAAATTTAAAATAATTTAATTAAGGCGTGTAATTGTTATACTGCCGGCCGCGTCTCACGAACGAGCCACGTTCCTCTAATTAACACGTTTAGTGACGAATTAAAATACTTTTGAATGGTTATCGAATTTCCATCGCAGTCGTAAACCGACGCGGAGGTGGCCATCGCCACATACTCAGAACTCAACTTTCTTAATATATTTAAATATAAAAAACTAATTGCTTATTCAGTTTGTTTATGAGCTATGGATTTTACTGATAAAAAAGTATAATATTACCTAAATATTACAAATAACAACTCGTAAAATAATAATAAGTGAATAACAGAATAAAAATCTTTTATTTATTACGAAACTGCATTAAATAGTCCTTATAAATTAGTCTGGACAGGACTCGAACTAGGGCCCTACTATATAATAGAAGATGTCAACCTGTTCTCCAACTGCACCTAACAATCTGCTATCAATATGTAACAAAAACATGCCACAATAAAACTTTCACCGCGCGTATCATCGATCATAGATCGATCCATTGATCTATAGATCACTAGATACCTCGATAAGTATAATAACCGAAAACGATACTCATTGTGAATGACTCAAATAGCTCTAATATTTCATTATATTTAAACAAAGAGCGTCTGATAATAATATATAAGTGAAACTACTTGAGAAATAAACATTGTTGAGGCCAGGATTTTTCATAAAACTATTATGTTATTTCAATTCTCAAAAACTATCTCTGTAGAGTTCACCAACTAACTGATATACATTCGATTGCTATGTGATTAATTTATATATATATATATATATATATATATATATATATATATATATATATATATATATATATATATATATATATACGTATAGTGGTATATAATATAAATTAAGTTTCATCTAAGTCGGTTTAGTAGTTTCGGAGCTTATTCGTCTGTCTGAACGCGACGCGACCGGGGACTTTCTTTTATAATATGTAGTGGCGTTTCAGGTCACTGTGGATACGAGACTCGACTGAGTGCTAAATAGCACAAAAGTGCTAATTATTTATTAATTACTTTAATAAAAATATTAATGTTAACAAATACACATAGTTGTGTACCTAGAAAAAAAATTCTAAATCTATTTTGATGTCATATGTATACTTAAATGTTTAAAAATAGGTCAATATTTTCAAAATTAACAAACAAAATGTTTGTAATTAAGCTGGACTAACTAGTAAACTTGACTTACTTGCTAAGACTTAGCAAACAAAATTAATTTTCTCAACAAAATACTGTACTAAAAACATTGTTATAAAATAAAGTAAAACACACTACCCTCCGATTTTCTGTTACAAATCCATTTTAAGTGTCCGGTAATTAAATCTAATGATGTAATGAAGAGATCATCGGCTGCTCTGAACAAAACAAGTAAAACGTTAATGGGCCATTATTCAGCCACCACATTGTTAAGGGCTCACTTCTCAAATACAACTACTGAGTAAACCACGTCAGTTAATTTAAACTAAAAGTTAAGACTGAGACTAACTTAACACTAAACGCAAATGCAAATGAAAAAATGAAACGCAAATATTTGAAGGATAGATCACTACATATTATAAAAAGAAGTCCGCCACCGCGTCTGTCTGTCTGTCTGAACGCGATAAATTTAAAAACTACCAAACGGATTTTCATACGGTTTTCACCAATAATCGATGGAGTGATTCATGAGGGAGGTTTAGGTGTATAATTCATTAAAGTATTGTGTAAATTGGCTGAAATATGACGATAAATGTTGAAGATATCGGAAGCTTTATTGGCGCGCACCTCGTAAACTAAATAAAACATTGTATCACAGAATTATTCCTCTTAAAAAGATCTTCTTATTAAACTCTAGTAACGTTGTGTGCATGTACCTAGGGATGTAAGTCATTAGTATTATATATAACTTAGGATTTGAAATTTTTTAGCTTATTTGTTGTAGTATTTTTTTAATAAATGACTCCGAAGACAATTTTAAGTGTTAACCAATCAAATATTAAAGTTATGTTAAAGTAGCTCCTATATTTTCCAAAATCAATTCAATATAAAATTCAATTAAAATGTTATAACAAAATGTGTCAAAATAACAAACGCACAATACGTGGTTTATATGCGTGTATGTATAATACATCATAATTCGAGATCCAATTCAATTGCTATTGAGTCCATCGATCTATTGTTAATTGAAAGCCCGACGCGATCTCTTTGTGGGTGGCGGGCTCTTTCGCGGGCGGCGGCTCCGCGCCGTCACAGGTGTCACCTCGCGATGACAATGTAATAAATAACAATTACTTGCTTCCAAAATAACCACTGGCCTAACTGAACTTGTCATTTTCATTTAAACACCTGGTCTTATATAAATGCCCGAAAATATCTTCATTTATTCAAACAAATAACCAAATTGCAGAGCTTGCAAGTAGAGTACATTGTTAGGTTAAATTAAATTATTTTCTCATCTGTGGTCTTTGTATGTTCTCCATAGACGTCGTTTTTTTTTTCAAATATTTTGAATTAAGTAACGAATATTTTTCAGTATAAGCAGATTTTTTTCCAAAAATGATTTTAAGAGTGTATACTTTGTAATGTGAGATAGACCTCTATGAGGAAAGTCCTGAAACCTTTTAAAAATCGACTATGAGTACGTTATAATTCAAAAACATAAATTGTCCGCCAACCTGCACTTGACAGCGTGGTGGACTATGGTCTCCCCCTTGTATTGAAGGTACGCCCAGCAGTGTGACATTAAAAAGGGCTAAATAGAATATAACATAAAAGCATGTTTCTTATAAAACTGGAAAATCAAAGGAGATGCGGATCACAGGTGGACAAGCGCTATATATTAGGGCCTTATATGGGAAGAGTTAAGCAAAAACTTACACATAAAGACATAAACCCCGATCGTTAACTTTATTTATGTTTTGTTTAACTAATTGTACTGGATTATAGGGAAGGGCGCTGTTTGTTGACTCTACTGTGATATATGGAGTTACAAATCATTTTAACCGCTTCACACATCGTGGGGGGCAGAGATTGTACTTGTGACTTTAATAATATTAATATATTAATATTATATATAAAATTATAAAGTATAACAATAAAAATATATAAATAATAAATAATAATCATCTTTATTGCTGTATCGTGAGTACCACAAGTTGATTGACAAAAAAATTGTTGCTCAGTAAAGATTGCTAGCCAAAGTTATATATATATATATATATACATATATATATATATATATACATATATATATACATATATATATGTGTGTGTGTGTGTGTGTGTATACAAAGAAAGAACCTTAAT